GATCATCTGGGGTCTGGTGTTGTCTATGGCATGCTCAGGATTGACCTTCTGGAAGCTTGTGAAAGGGCCAATATCTAGAACTTCCCACATCTCATCATGTAGAGCACAGAGATGTGCTTTCATCCGGATCCTCCAGTCATCAAACTTAAGATCTGAAAACATAAGATTCTTGGACAAGGAGTGATCCATTATATCAGATAGAGATGAGGTCAAACAGAAAAAACAAGTGGATCTTTGTTCAGCAAATAACCTAAGAGATTATTAGAACAACCTGGCTCTGATACCACTTGTTGGTCCCGGTTATACTGGATACAGTCTAGAGGGGGGGGGTGAATAGACTGTATTGGTTTTTAGCTTTTTAAACTAAGTACCAGATTTACAGAATAGCCTGTTCTGTTGAAAGAACAGACTGGCAGCGGATGGGGTTCTGGTAGGGAGTTCTGTTAGCCTCAGAGAAACAAAGGCAGTAGGCCTTCTGTTAACTCGTAGAACAAGTTCTGCTGAACACAGATACCAAGTCCAAGGAGTTAGACAGTTCTATCTAAGTGCAAGTATTAAAGTAATAAGTAAACGACACCAGGGATTTTTATAGTGGTTCAAGGAACAACTTGTTCCTCTAATCCACTGTTCCACTAAGCTGTAAAAACTGCCGTTTACAAAGCCTTAGTCGTAGAACTTAAGAAGCACTCCATGTCTTCTTCAAGCCTAGATGTCTCCTGGGATGCACTGCCTGGCTTCCTTTAAGACTGGTCCTTTCACTGAGCTTCCTGGAAGTATCACCACTTCACTACTCCAGTTACTTGGACGTCCTTCTTGTAGCAAGAAGAGTTTCTGTTGAAACAGAGGTTCCTCCAACTAGCTTCGTTACAAAAGATTTGTATGTGATGAGCTTGAAGAGTTGAAGAACACTTGGAACTTTGCTTGAGTTGGAAAAAGGTATTTTTCCAACTTCTGCCTTCTCTTGTAGAAGATAATAAGTTTGAATCTCAAGGAGGCTTTTGCTTTTCAGAGTTTTAATATCTTGTATGAAGAGTAGTAGCAATGTGTAGCAAAAGTTGCAAAGTTGTCCGGTTGTTCTTCGTAGTGTATCTTTTATACTGAGGTTGTCTTCCCGTTGGAGGAGTAGGAGGACAACTGCATTTAATGCGCGAGCAGTTGACTTGACCAGTAGGACCCGGTAAAGTTGGCGGGTTACTATTTTGGGATAAAGTAATCCTGACATTGCGGCCAATCATCTGCAATTACTCCACGGAGCATGGGGAGCATTAAATGAGCATTTAATGCGAGCACTGTAGCTTTTCCGTTTCATACTCCTAGCCGTTGAGGGAATCTTTTAGTTGACTTCCCGGCTTTGTGGATTTCTTCCAAGTGTCAGACCTTCTGGTGTATTTGGCAGAGAACTAATCAGAGAAGATCTTGAGCACTTCTGTTGATAGTAGCTTACAGAGAACCAAGAGGGTTTCTGTCAAGCTAAAGGGTAACAGAGACCCTGAGGTTTTCTGTTCCTAGACAGAGAACCAAAATCTTCTGTCCGGAGGTCTTCTGGTAGAGGGGCCTTCTGGTAGTCGATTATGCTAAGAACTTTACAAGGGAAAATTCTAATACATAATTTCTAACAGGGGTACTCTAAAGTCCTAATTAATATAGCATCATCAAAATCTAAATACAATTATTCCTTACATTCACGACTTTGAGTCCACTAATAAGGTTTCTCAATAACATCCCATGGCAAGTTGCATAATAAACTGCAACGTACTCCGCCATCATGGTTGAGGTTGTCGTTAGTTTTTGCTTATGACTTCTCCACGAGATAGGTCCGCCTGCTAACATAAAGATATACCCTGAAGTAGATTTCTTATCGTCTTTGCATTTTGCAAAGTCCGAATCAGAAAATCCAATCACTTCTAAGTTATCGCTTCTTCTATAAGTTAGTTTGTAATCTTTTGTCCCTTGAAGATATCGCAACACTTTCTTTGCTGCTTTCCAATGATCTAGGCCGGGGTTATGTTGATAACGACCTAGCATTCCAGCAATATAAGCAATATCCGGACGAGTACAAACTTGAGCATACATTAAGCTTCCTACTACAGAAGCATAAGGTATCAAACTCATTTGTTCCCTTTCTACCTCCGTTTTCGGACATTGAAAAGAACCGAAAACATCTCCTTTAACTACAGGAGCAACTGAGGGAAAGCAATGTTGCATGTTATAGCGAGCAAGAATACGCTCAATGTAAGCCTTTTGAGACAGTCCTAACACACCATTGGCTCGATCTCGATGTATTTCAATGCCAATCACATAAGAGGCTTCCCCGAGATCTTTCATGTCAAAGTGGCGTGAAAGTAATCGCTTTGTCTCATGCAACAAATTCAAACTATTACTTGCCAAAAGGATGTCATCAACATAAAGGACAAGTATGGCAAAATTGCTCCCACTCACTTTAAAGTAGGTACATTGATCCACTTGATTCTTATTGAAACCATTCCTTTTAATGACTTCATCAAATTTCAAGTACCACAGTCTTGATGCTTGTTTTAACCCGTATATGGATTTCTTTAGTTTACATACTAGGTGTTCTTGACCCTTGAGCTTAAAACCTTCCGATTGAGCCATGAACACATTTTCATGTAAATCACCATTAAGGAAAGCCGTTTTAACGTCCATTTGATGTAACTCTAAATCAAAATGGGCTACTAAGGCCATAACGATCCTTAAGGAATCTTTTCGAGACACAGGAGAGAAAGTTTCTTGAAAATCAATCCCCTCCTTTTGAGTGTAACCTTTAGCAACCAAACGTGCTTTATATCTTTCGACGTTTCCATTTGGGTCTAACTTGGTTTTATAAACCCACTTGCATCCTACGGGTTTTACCCCTTTAGGTAGTTCAACAAGTTCCCATACGTCATTCTTTCTCATAGAATCAAGCTCATCAATCATAGCTTCATTCCATTGAGTGGATTGGTCACTACTAATGGCGTCATTATAAGATGTAGGATCATTATTTTTCCCTATATCCAAGTCAACTTCATTAAGATAGGTTATGTAATCATCAAAGTTAGTAGGTCTTCTAGACCTCGATGACCTTCTTAATGAAATTTTGAGTTCTTGAGGTGGTTCAGTGGTAACTTCAGGGATTTGTTCCTCTAAATTTGGAACACCTTCATTTATTGGCATATTAGGAGCAATATTTTCCTCGGGAGAGGCACTAGGTGGGCAAATGTCATTTACAATAGGTGCAATAGAATAAAGAGGTAATGAGGTTATTGGACCCTCCTCTTGCAGTTCTTGTAAGTTGACAACATGATGTGTATTGCTCCCACTAATGTTAGAATTTTCTAGAAATTCGGCATGACGAGTTTCAACTATGCGAATGGAATGAGATGGGCAATCGAATCTATATCCCTTTGATCGTTCGGGATACCCTATAAAGAAACAACTGACTGTTTTCATGTCAAGCTTTCTTTGTTGAGGGTTGTAGAGCTTAGCTTCGGCGGGACAGCCCCATACTTTCATATATCTCAAGCTCGGTTTTCTTCCCGTCCAAATTTTATAAGGTGTTTTAGGAACGGATTTAGAAGGAACTCTATTGAGTATATGGACTGCCGTTTTTAATGCCCCGGTCCATAAGAATTGAGGTAAGGTGGTGTTTGCTAACATACTTCTTACCATGTCCATGAGGGTCCTATTTCTTCTTTCAGCAACACCGTTTTGCTGAGGAGTACCCGGCATGGTAAATTGGTTCACGATCCCATGTTCTTTACAAAACTCAAAGAAAGAACCAGGAGCTTGACCAATATCAGTATGTCTACCATAATACTCACCCCCTCTATCTGATCTCACTACTTTTATCTTACGGTCGAGTTGATTTTCAACCTCGGCCTTAAAAGATTTAAATGTGTCAAGTGATTCAGATTTCTCTTTAATTAAATACAAATACATATAACGTTAGTGATCATCTATGAAAGTGATAAATGACTTATGTCCAGATATTCCGGCGGGAAAAGGTCCACAAATATCAGTATGTATAAGTTCTAATAAATTAGAACTCCATGTGGCGCCTCTTTTATTTCCTTTTGCCATTTTGCCTTTAAGGCATTTCACACATGTCTCAAAATCATTGAAATCGAGAGTTGGTAAAACTCCATCTTTCACGAGTCTCAACATTCGGTCTCGTGATATATGGCCTAAACGTTGATGCCATAACATAGATGAGGTTTCCAAATCTCGTTTTCTTTTATGTAAATTTTCACTTACATTATATGACAACAATGATTTTGAGAATTGGTCATCTAGGTCTAACTTATAAAGTTTTCCATCCAAATAACCATAACCAATAATGTCGGAATTTAAAGTAATAGTGACTTTATTATTACCAAATGTTACATAATATCCATCATTATCTAACTTATGTACAAATACTAGATTCCGAGTCATCCTCGGTACATAAAGAGTATCATATAAGTTAATACAATAGCCACCTTGCATAACTAATTGCAAAGTACCTACGGCTTCAACATTTAGATCATCACCATTGCCGACTTTAATGGTTCTTTGGTTTCTTTCCAGCCTCCGGATTGAATGGAATCCCTGTAATGAGTTTGTAACATGTACCATAGAACCAGAATCAACCCACCATGTGTTTGTGGGAACATTAATATTAAAGGACTCATAAATCATAAATAGATGATTACCTTTCTTTGCTAGCCACTCCTTGAATTTTGGACAATCTCGTTGGCCATGTCCTTTCTTATGACAGAATTTACAACGAAACAGGCCCTTAGGAGCGGTTGAGCCAGGGGTTGCATTTGCATTTGTTTTCTGAACCTTTGAACTTTCTCCAGTGTTAAATTTGCCTTTCTTTTTCCCGGTGTTTGTGGTTGTGAGATGAGCAACATCGGGTTTTTCAATCTTTAAGCGCTCCTCCTCTTGCACGCACATGGCAATGAGTTCACTCATTTGCCATTTGTCCTTTTGAGTGTTGTAGTTTATTTTAAAAGGATCAAATTGTGCCGGAAGAGAGGTCATAATGAAGTGCACTAAAAAACCCTCACTAATTTCCATGTCCATGCCCTTAAGCTTGTGGGACATGTCACTCATCATCATGATGTGCTCACGCACACCACTCACACCATCGTACTTTGTAGTCAACATCTTCAGAATCAAAGTACTCGCATATGCCTTGGAGGTGCCTTTAAATTGTTCTTCAACGGAGTCCAAGTATGTTTTTGCATTTTCTGAATCCGGTATGGCTCCGCGAATAGCAACCGAGATGGAATTCTTTATAACCATGAGAGACATTCTATTTGACCTCTCCCACTGTTCATACACTCGTTTTTGTTCTTGTGAACTTTGGTCAGTGAGTGCAGCGGGAGGATCATGCCTCAAAGCATAGTCTAAATCCATCATTCCAAGAGTTAATTTAACGGCATCTCGCCATGACGCAAAATTAGTGCCGGTTAGAGGTTCAATCCCATAATTAGGACTTAAAGTGGATGCTGGATTATCACAATTAGAACATATAAATTTTAGAAGAACATAAGTGAATTGAAACATATAGGGCAATCACATAAGGTAAGCAAAATAACATATTGAAGATTAAGTCTATTACTAACACCAAAATAATAGACTAAAATAAGGTCCTACTTGAGTTTTGGATTTGCGTTGGCTATGTCCAATATTCAAGTGCTTCGAACATATTTTTTTTTTTAAATAAAAATAAAATACGCCATATGAATATTGTAAGTCACCTTTGGGCAAAAAAGAAATACAATATTCACATTAAGTTGGGCTTAAAATTAAAAACACCATTTTATAATATATGTCACGTAACGACTCGCCTTTGGATTTGTCATTTCGCTACACATTAATGTCTTATTTAGATTCATATCCAATTTAAATAATTATCCGGCAACGGAAAATTATTTAAATGAGATATGAATATTACGTAAAAGGAAATTAAAACATTAATTAATCATTAAAATAAATTGCATAGGATTTTGCAAGAGATATTTTAACGATTGAAAAAATGGGGTAAATAAATTATCAAATAGCCATAAAGTAATAAAGTAATGACATATTGTGTTGGGATGATTAGATAAATATGATATAAGTTAAAACATCAATAGAATGATTAATCACAAATATATGTTGAGATAAAAAAGTTAAAAGTTTATAGACCACTACTTATCCTAATACGCAACAAATGTATTAAATACTTTATATTTTAATCTTTATGCTATTTGTTATTATTAAGAACTTAGTTATTATTTTAGCCCATATAGGAATGTGGATCGCGTATGTTTTTGAAAGTTGAATCAACGCAAACAAGGAATAATCTTGGCGAATGATTTGAATGCTATGGACGTAGCAACACTTCGATGAAAACATTTTGACAGATTTCAATACTACGATTTAGATTTCAAAAGCGTAGCCTTAAATTTCATTAATTTTTGTCTGCCAAAATTTAGCGTTCATCAACAGTGTCTGACGCCATTTCATTATAGTCATCAAATGATATTTTAGTCATCAAAATTTTATTTTAGTTCATCGACTTTGATTAATTCCAGAAACGTGAACTATGTTTTTTTTTTATCGGTTTGAAATGATTAAGAGAATTGCTCTGATACCAAATGAAGGAAATTATTTTAACAGATTTGTAATTTTAGGATCAACTCTAATCAAATCAAACACAATAATTTAAGTTTGTCTTTATATGTGTTTCACAAGTATTTATGTTCTAATCTATTTATATCCGATTCATCCTAAATAAATTACTCTAAATAAGAGTTAAACCGTTTTGAAATTCCAAAATGAGTAATATGATTTTATTCTCTAATAGGACTATGTTTTGTCATGCTTGAAAAACAACGTTATTTGTGGCAATATATATTGTCATATTTAAAATCAAGTAATGTCAAAATTTGACTAATTTTTTTAATACTGTTATTTAGAGAGATTTGATTGAACATTCATTATCCATTTTGCGGTAATATAGTACGGAGTTTCATGACTCCCCGTGTGAGAAAAGTGTTGAACTATTGTAACACTACGTATTTCTTACCCAACTACTCCGTAATTGAATACTCAGTTACTCCCTCTGTCCCAAAAACAACTTCCCACTTTCTTTAAATTGATGTCTCAAAATTAACTTCACACTTTTTTTCACTTCCTTATTTGGCAAATTATCTACATCAAAATAGTGCAAAACAGTGCCAAACAGTGTCAAACAGTGCCAAACAATGTCCAAACAGTGCCAAACAGTGTCCAAACAGTGTCAATCACTTCATTTTCCTTAATATGTATGGAAAATGAATTGTGGAATTGTTTTTGGGAGAGTGAGTCGGAGATCAGCTGGGCTGGACCGCTTCCTCGGGGTTATTTTCATATAAATGAAGATACTTGAAATAAGATTGGTCATAAAACGAAATTCTTTCATGTTATCTTATCGTGTACTTGGTACAAAACTAACACAATATGAATTGTTTTTAAGATTGTCAAAGAGTCAATAGTGGCTTAGATTTCGGATATGAAAAAATGGTTATAAGTGAACCTTTAACACCAAAATATAGTACCACTCACTACCACTTATAGTAACTCTTATGGTTTTAGTAAAGTCATTATGGCACATTAGTTTCAAATGGATTGAACTTGGTAACAACTATCGTACATATACCCATTATACATCAACAAAAACCACAATCAAAACATCAAAACATTGACCGAACACAAAGAACACAAACGGTGCAACAACTGCTGAACTGCAACACACCAACGATGAGCAATTGAGCATAGTTAGTTAAATAGGATACGGGAATTAAACGAGGTTTAATACATACACGTTTTATTTGATTACATGAATGAAAAACGATCAAAAATTCGTTGAAAAAAATGTTGACTTTTAAAAAATGTGTAAATACATATACGCGTATAATTTTAAGTTTTAGTCTTTTATGATGTTAGCTTTAGCCAACATGCGATTAATTTTAGTATTTAATAATAGTATATTTTGTATTGTAACAATACAAAAACACGGGGCCACAGGGAGGAGCTTTTCCTTTCTGCTTTTAAACTATAGTCTAATGTTGATCTTCAATGCATTTCATGCATTCATTCCATTGATCAATTCAGGTTTCTATTTTTTGTAAAATACGTTTTTATACAGCAAGTAGGAGTTTTTCCCCTTTTAAACGGACCGACATTATTTTTCGTTTTAAACGTGTTTTTTTACTAAAAAACGGTACATGTTTAGAACACGTTTAAAATGCAAAAAAGCTAACTAGGACAAAGAGCAAAAAGGGCTAAAAAGACTAATAAATTCAGGTAAAAAATTAACAAGTTCAACTGGATATAATGTATACAAGACCTTGTACCGTTGTACGCAAGAACTTTGATTGACACTTCCAAACTTCAAACTCTTGAAGTAGATTGGCTATATTGCATTGCATTCCTTGCTTTTCAAGTTGTGTAGATTGTACAACAAAAAACCAATCTAACAACTCTGTTAAGAACCCTAGCCCCTCCATGCTCCTTCTTAAAGCATGTAACAGCACTTTTGATGGTGAATGACCTCCTCACTCCCAGTCAAGCACATAGTGTCTCCATATTATCCCTGTCACTGGAACTAGAAGAAATGATGCCTGGGGCATCCTCACATTGTGAATAACAAAAGTTATAGTTTCTATAACCTACTAGTGCCCAGCCTGTTTCTAAAGCATAACTGGACAATGAAAGAGAATCTAGGTGGAATGCATCTTTTCCAAATAAAAGGCATCCTTGATTTTAGACGGGCACATTACACATGAAACACAAATCACAAGTTGTTTGTGTTACATCACCAAAACTGATAAGCGGAACAGTTCTAAAGCGGCTAACTTTTTAATAAACGGGGATACATGCACTAGTGCCAGGTCCCATGCTCAGACATTAGCATTGTTTAAATAGATTTCAGGATCCACTTGAACCACAAAGCATCCTTCTTCCCTATTGTCGATGTATTTAGGCGGTGTTTGGAACTAGGGATGGGCTCGGGCCGGGTGGCCCGACCCGGAACCGGCCCTGTACCGGTACTGTTTCGGCCCGACCCGACCTGGTGGCCCGGTCAGTGACTGGTCCGGGTAGGCCCGGCCCGTGGGTTTCCCGGTCCGGGCTCGAGTCAATCAAAACAAGGCCCGACCCGGCCAGGCCCGGGTCCAGTTCGGGCCCAAACCTATTTTTTTTCCAATTTTTTTTAAATTTTTGGGTTGAGCTGGGTATTTTGGGCCATTTGGGGTGGTTTGGGGGGTTGGGGGTGGGAGGGGGTTAATTAGGAAGAGGAAAACAAAAAAAAATGATAATGGACCCGGCCCGCCCGGGCCTAGGCCCGACCCGGACCCGAGTCCATCCATATTTGGAACTGATTCTGCTTCTTTTTCAAAGCAAAAACAGAATCAGAATAAGTTTTCAGAAACTGATCACCCCAGCTTCTAAAAAAAACTGATTCTAGGAGTATATTAGAACACCAGAATCACTTCTGCACTTTTACCCAAACACTCCAACTTCTGCTTCTACTCCCTGAAGGAGCTTTTAAGAATCAGATCCAAACACCCCCCCTTATACAAATGGAAAATGCACAAGATTAAGTGGTCAAGATGAGGAAGGGGGTGGATCAGTATGCGAAGAAACTCAGAAAGTAGGAGGAACATGACCAAACGAAGCTAGAGACTGCTAGCTTGTACTCTAAATATTGAATTATCATCCCACACATTCGTAAATTGAAGTAGACACTATAATATGTGTGTATATGGAAACAAATATAATTATACATGTGTTGTTGTGATGGTTTTCAAAAAGACATTAGTATTAAAAAGAAGTCCTCCATAGTTATGTACTAGTATGTATTATTGCTTCAGGAATCAGGGATGAATAGGCGGGGATGTTTAGATGATAGAGAATTCTTGCTAGATACAAGAACACGTATTTCAGTGATGTTGTTCCCATTAGCATTTCAGTATATTTGCAAACGCTTAGGAACATGAAAAACAGCATTTTACAAAGTGGTAACTGTAAAATTCATATAAGCAGCCACGCTCGGAGATGTGCAATTGTGCCTAGGCTCAAAACTTTACACTTCACCAGCTGCAAAAAATTACTTACAAGACATTCCTCAGTTTACAAAAGGTGAAACAATAGTTCATTCCAAACATCCGGGACACCAGGCAGGCACCAGTGTATACAATCTGAGTAACTTGCAGGATCCGCTAACGTCTCAGGACTCAACGTCTCCCAGAACTTTCTGTAAATGGTTGGATGCCCATCTTTCCTACGTTCTGAAAGCTTAGTGATGTTGAGAACAGAAACTTTTGAGCCTAAATTGTCCAATACCTTTCTCACCATCTGCATTGTCGAGACATCAGAGTCATTCCCCCGGTAGTCTCTGTTTTCAATTGGGAGTTTCTCATCATAACAGTTTCCTTCACTTCCTGGTTCCCATTCTGCCTTCCTGTTCATAAGAAGTGACAGATGTGTCCCGAAAGAGAACATGATTATTAATTTGTAATTGAAGATTAACAAATAGATAAAACCTCAAGCCCCAATAAGACTCAATACTAAAATTTCCCATCCAGACAAGCCGGCCTATTGATAAACTCAAGCATTTGAAAATACCAAGGAATTCTAGAGACAAAAGGGATTTTGCTCACGAGTTATGAGTAGGAGACATGGTAACAAAAAAAACTTTCTTCAAAGGGTCAATGTGAGATGCTATCGAATTTGCCCATGCTCTCATGGCCAGCTCCATCCCACCCAGTCCATCTATTTCTTCACAAATTCCCTTTTTGTCATTGCTCCATCTGCACAAACATTGGACGTTTATAAGTAATAATGCTTTAGCACTTTAGCAGTGTCACTCTTAATTACAAGTAGCTACACCAATCCCATCTTTTCTCAATATAAGTACCTTTTTCGGTTGTCTTTTTTATGTTTGGGAAAATGACATTTTGATAAAATAAAAATAAAAAAGACATAAATATGTGACTTTTACTGATGGTGTTACTTTCACAATGACTAGTGCATGGTGATGTTATTTTTTTTAATGCAATGACCATAGTAGTATTTTAGAATTTCTGCAGTGACTGTAGTTGGTCCATAGAGTCATACTTTTTTCCATTACATTATTATAGTAAAATTATAGGAAAACTCTTTCTTTTTTATTTAAATAAAATTTCACTAAATATAAACAAAAAGGGATTTCCTATAATTTTACTAAATTATAGCTTATAAACAAAAAATAACTACAACGCCACTAGTCACTACAATAAAATCATCATCATTACAGCAGTGAAAAATTGAACATCATTGTGGTCTGTATAATCATAACAAAATGCTTGTATTTAAACTTTAAAGCCAAATATTTGTCCATTATTTATTTTAGTAATTGTTTTCACTTTTTCAACAAAAAAATTAACTCAGGGCATTAGGTTCCCATATTTAAATTAGAGAACTTGGCTAAACTTACAAAAGCTTAACGGGGCCTTGTCTCCACCAGAGGTAAGAATTGAAGACTAAAATGTCAGCATTTACCCAGTGGGACGAATGCCTGAGAAGTGAATCTGGACGGAGTATTCGTTCCGCCAATCGATGATCAACTGGATGATCTGAGTTTGATTCTACCAGAAGCGGTGACCATAAAAACTCCACACTAGCATTATACTCCTGTCCAAATACACATAAAAGAAACGTGAGTAGAAAATCGCTTTTCCCATTTTTTAACAGGTCTCAAGTTCTATTATACCTCAGTTCTAAAGATTGAAAGATGTTGCTGAGGTGACATGTATCGTTTATGAGGGGGAATGACAGATTGCAACATACAGACCATTGACATCCATTGGTTTCTATTCAACGAATCCCCAACAAACATTAGCCTTTTACCCCTCAATTTCTCCCACATTTCAGTCGCATTCCATCTGCAAACCGAAAGAATGATCAGTTAGTATAAGAGGTATTTCCTAGAGTATTACTACAAAATTATAACCACATCGATTACACGGGCACTGTAAAATATCACCACAGCCCTGCAGTGTAAAATTGACATCAACATGGTCACTGTGAGTTAAAAGTGATGTTTTTGTCTATTACTTCTATTTTAGTCATATATTTGTCATTATTTCTTAATTATAAAGCTAATATCAATTGAGAGACACATAAATAAGTACCTCTTCAAATTGCAGTCATCGGGTTGCCATCTCCAGTACTGGTAGGCCTTATCAATCCTTCCATGCTTTTGGCAAGCCAATTGGTCAGACATGTAAGGGCAATCGGACTCATTGTAAAGAGGTCGTGAAGTGTTATCCAAGATCCACTCGCCAGAAAAGATGTCACACCTCTCTGGCATTTCTCTTCGATCGCTGCCAAATTCTGGAATGCCATTAGCCCAATGCGGTCTCCTACCACTATACTCTACCGTTTTGAGGCATCTACTGGACTTATCCAATTCCCTAGCTACATATACCACATAAATTTTAATACGTATAAAAAAGATCGCAATCAGAACAAGGAAAACAACCATCTAAACAAAGAAACTTGCCAACAATATTTGTACTGTGTAATAGACTTGGTTCTTATATGATCCTCCAAAAATCATAATAATAGCAGCAATCAAAACAGAAAGCTCTGTACTATTTTTTAGTCCTAACGACATCAATTACACAATTGACTGTGACACCATATTAAAACTTGAGATTCTCTAGTAAAGGTTAGATAGGTCAAATGATGGCTTGCCATTAATAGAACTTAAAACGCTAGACCACATACTAAGAGTCCAGTTCTAAGAAAAAAACAAAAAATTAGACATTTTCACACAAACCTAGAGAGATCAAACGCTACCTCTACCTAATGACCTAGAATGTTAAACATTTAGCAATTTAAAGCAAAAAAGAATCAGATTAGAGATGATGTTGAGAGAATAGGGGGGAGAGGGGACCTGTACTAAACTGAGTGGGGGTCGGGGTCATATTCTTCTGGGTCAAGAGAAAAGGGTCTTCATCAGATGGAGATGTGCGATCGGTGTGGCGGAAATCTTGAATGTGGCGTCCATTAAAGGAGATGGAGAAGAAGGCTATGAAAGCGAAGAAGACGAGGGCAATCAGAGGGTACTGCGCTGCTCTCTTCTTCGGGCACCTCTGCATTTCTTCTGTGCGCCCCACAGAGAGAGAAGCGGACAAAAATGGCGGAGAGAATCTGATTAAACAAATCGAGGACTTAGATTGTTGACTGTAAATAGTGATTTTCTACTTATACTGGCAGTTCAGAAACAGCTGAGTGTGTCATTAACGAATTAATTAAGGTGCTCTGTAAAGTTAACTTGGACGATAACACTGTCTTTATCATGTGAACTTGGCTGGGAAATGCACAGGCCCCACCAAATTTATCCCTCTATTACGGGCAAATCCGGAAACTAGATTAAGTAAATTATTATTATGTTTGAAAATGGTAGTTTCTAACTTTCTATGATGGGTCAGTGGTTTTTTTGGTACATATACCCTGAATTCAAATAAATGCCTAATATTTATCCAAAATCATATAACAAATTCTAATAAAGTAGTTGCTGTTTTTGCCAAAAAAAATAAAGTAGTTGCTGTTTAAACTTTATTAACTTTTTGGGCTTAAACATTTTTGTGTTGTATATAGATTACCATCATGGGTTCAGACAAAAATAAAACTAATAGAGAGGTTGAAGAAAAAATAATATTAGTTTTAAAAATTTCCAAACAAGAGACTAATTTTTAAGTTGATATTTTTTGAAGACTAGTTTCAATTTAAAAAATTAAATTGGTATCTCAGAATGTTAATCAATACAAAAATGATGTTTGTACACATTCTTATACACACTTTTGTACACACCTATGTCTGTGAAAGCTTTTTTTTTGTCTGTGAACATCGATTCACAGACAATGTTTTGCACAAACAAAATATTGTCTGTGAACGGGATTCACAGACAAAAAAAAATTTCACAAACATGGTGTGTATAAGGTGTGTACAAGGGTGTGTACATCAAGAATGATTGTAATCAATATATATGAGTTGTGTGTATACATAAGGATAGAGAGAAGAAAACACTAGCATGTAGCCTGCTAAATTGTGTGTGTGGATACGGGTCAAGCTCGTGAATATTTTTTAGACAATGTGACATCCTAAAGGCTCTCAAATTTCTCAATGGAGCTCTTTTGCCTAGGGTTCCATTAAAACTGATGGATGAGCTAGGCTTTTGCCTAGGGTTTTGCGTGCCGTTATATATGGATGAAGCTACTAGTTATATAAATATATATATATATATATATATATATATATATATATATATATATATATATATGGATGACCCTTATGTTTCTACCCGAAGGTTTATGACTTCCTTTCAAAGATCAATTCCTATGAAAAATGGTCATGTTGTCCATCTCATATATGACATCACTAGTGGCTCACCCTCCTCCTAAACCGCCGTTATGGGGTGGATGGGATTGCCTACGGTTGGAAGATTGTATTTCATTTTCATCAAACAAACGAGTACACGATTGAGATAAGCATTGATCATGTTAAGTTAAGGGATTAGATCTAAAGACCATTGACTTTTTCAATTGCTCTGTTGTTATGTTTTATGAGTTTTATTCTGTTGTTACGTTCTTTTATAAAGAATATGGCGTTAGGTTTGTTGGGATGACTGCCAAATTTAATAGTATTTTTATAAAATAATTTATTAATACATTCATAAATAAAAGTAGAACAAGTAAACAATGTAAAATTTAATAAGTTGAACTTATTTAAGAACGAATGTATAGTAGTAGTAATAAAATTCTGCAATTATTTTGTTTTAACTACTACATTCCCCCAATATAAGTTTCCACTGTCCCCCATTGCTATCAATTCTGCTAGTTTTGATGTTGTTGGATGTATGTGGACCCACATGATAATCGATGATTGTTTTATGCTCGCTTGGTGGTTAGTGACTCATGTTGCTCTTTTAGGTGATAATTGTTATATCTAATTGTAGGGTTATCCGTTGTGGTTGGAATAGTGTCGTAGTCGATATCCGTTTTGTCGAGTATGATGTAATGATCCTAATTTTAATAATATCAATACACACACGCGCATTCTCACACGCACGCGCTCACACACACATAAATGAACTTTTCGAGAGAATAATGCATCATATATGCATGTCATGTCATTATTATTATACATAATTAATTCAGTTATTCTCTAAGATGCATTAGGAAATAAAATCTGGACTCTTAGTTATTTGAGAACATATTGTTCATATATTATCTATTATTTGTTTCATTATATAGCAAAGATAATCATGATGCAAAATCTAAACAAAATTTTATTACTTATTTAAGAGTATTAGTTTAGTAGTAGCTTTAATCTTGACATAATATTCATACATGTGTAGATGGATGAACTTTTATGTACGAATAAACATTTTATACATTTCCAATTGACAAATACAATTGAGAGTGATATAGATAGTTAGGTTTGCAATGTAAACATATTCGATTAAAATATGAGGTCTCATCCTAAAATGTTAACCTAATAGAATGAATAGTCAAAAAATGAGTATATAATATATTTCTACCTCCGTCCCTCTAGAATTGTGATAAAAAGGAGTGGTGCGGCAGTTCTAGACAGGATTGAGAGCGTCTCTCACTAGGATTGGCTTTCTTGTCAATCCTAGGTTGCCATCTTCAGTGCTAGAGATCTTCCATTGCACAAACTTCCACTCGGTTTGGCTATGCCATTCATGAGTTTATCTTCAGCTTTTGGAAATTTTAAGCAATTTGTTTTGTTAGTTACGGTATAATCGTTTCCGTGATATATCACTAAGTCTTCATTCGTTGCGAGGAGGATCCTAATGGCTTGAAGGTTTGAAGGAGCACTCTCTATCCCTTGGTGGGTGTCTGCCATGGAGGTTCCAGTGACCCAGTGTCGATGGGTAAATTACACTGAGGTAAGCTTAGTGTTCGACTTTCTTCCTCAGTCCGTAAGCTCATTCGTAGTGATTCCGACTCTTCGGATGGGAGGTAACCTTTGGAGACCTTTGTAAAATTTACATCTCTTTGTATCAAATATTCAATATCCTCTCACGTTCATCCCTAATTTTTCACTTCATTATTATTCTTAAATTTAATATGGTATCAAGTTGATATTCTGGAGGTAAAATTTTACTTTCTACACAGTATATTTCTTTCTTCTAAATAATGGTCATTAGTTGTAGGAGAAGAAGGGGAAGATGAATGAATCTTTTTTTCTTGTTGGGGAAATACAAATTTGGAAAGAGGGAGTCTTTGAATGAATTAAAATCATTTCTGAGACATGATAGATTCAAATAGTTAATATATATTCATTTTAAATTGAAGTGAAGTTACCGTTTAGTTAGTTATTCTTCAAAACTCTCGAATTTAAGGGACTTACAAATTGAACATTTGAGCCATTTTGAGGATTATAAACACTCTCCAAAACCATTTCTCCCAAATTTTGAACTCCAAAATAAGAAAGGGAATGTCATAAACCCTCATCATCCTTCCCTTCCGTTCTAGAACTTAATTCCCGAATGTACCCTAAGAGTATGTTTCGGAGATTGAGGGAAGGGAAGGGGAAGGGGAAGACTTTGAAGAGATTAGAGAGAAGGGAAGGGGAGGGAGATGGGAAGAGACTCCTTCCCCTCATTTGGGAGTTACACATTTAAAAAGATAAATTCGTACATAAAGTTTATATTTCATAGTCATAAGTACACTCTTTGTATGTACGAATGTACGATGTACGTGAAGAAAAATGTGCCGATAAAAACATGTGCACAAAAAATGTATATCTCATAGTCATAAATACTTATTGTACTAGTTCAATCCTATAGAAATGTACTTTAATCAATCATTATATCTCATCAATAATGTAAGAATAAAGAATTTGATTCCAAACATCAGGGACCCCAGGTAAGCACCAATGCACACAATCTGAATAGCTCTTTGGGTCCAATAATTGTTCTTGTGTTGGAGGTAGCCATTGCTTCCTGTAGATAGTGGGGTGTCCATCTTTTCTATAATCAGAAAGTTGTGTTATGTTTAGATAATTGACTTTTAAGCCTTTACTCTCTAAGCGTCTTATAGCCGTTTCTGCAATTTGCATAAGCCCTTTATCTGTCGCACTTCCCCAATAATCTGATCTTGAAATTGGTTGTGTTTCATTGTAACAGTTTTGATCCGCTTGCATCCCCCAATCTCTTGCCCTGAGAATAAATATAAATTACTCAAGAGATCTAGTACAAGTCTAAGAACATATAGTACAAAGAAAATATTTACATATACATAAGGAAATAGTAAGGAAATAATTGGTAACATACAATTTATGGTAAGGGGAGAGGCTCATGAAGAACATCTGTGTTCTTGATCTGTTAATGTTGAACTCCAACCAATCTGACCATGTTTCTAATGCCATTTCATAACGTCTATTTTTCATTTCTACCTTTTTATAGACTGCATTTGGGCTTTCAAATGATCCCCACCTATGAGCACCAACAATGATTTGATTCACACATAAGAATCTTAACCACTCATATACTAACGAGTAACAAGTTTTTTTATTTATTACAATTTATTTATAATTATATGAAGCAATGTTGATAAAGATATAAGTAAAATTAAAAATAATGGATAAAATTAATTTTTACTTTGTATTTATGAAATCATAGCTAGTGCACAAACATAATAGAGAAAATTACCACTTATATGACCAAAACATTGTGTGTTTCCCAAAATATGACTTACATCTTTGTTTCCCTAATACAAAGAAAATTACCACTTATATGGCCAAATACCATGCCCCATACAACCGAGTGTTTCCTTTTAATTATGTCATTCCATACATATTTAGTAACATATTGAGAAAGAATCATCCATGGTCATATTTTGGGAATCGGCATGAGTTTTACTCATATATAGGTATTTTTCCCAACATAATATAGATTTAAAATTAAACAATGTATAAAATATAAGTATGTTCTAAATTTAATAAACATAAATATAATATAGAATATATGAATATAAAATCCAAAATATGAAATATGAAATAATGTAAACCATGACAATAGTAATTATATATATTTTTTAATTTTTATTAGAGTCACTATTTGAAAGTGGCTTATGTCATCATCTATAATTATACTTGTATATCCATGATATGAGTTCTATATATTTAAGTATATAGTTAGAGTACTTTGTTACTAAAAATATTATTGAAATTTACTTACAGAAGTGTCATGGTGGGTTCTAGCCACCACATAAAAGAATTAAAGACAAGTATATCTGCATTTGTCCAGTATCTAGCATGCCTCTCAATTGCCTTTATTCTCACAATTCGGTCTCTTACATGATGGTCCGCTGGATCATCGCAGTTGGACTCTACCAACAATGGAGACCAATAGAAGTCTATTGTTGCATTGTATTCCTTCATGATAATCATACAAATTTTCATTTCTCATAAGGTCCATTAGATATGGAAATGATATATGGAGTAATAAAAATTGCTCAACAGACTAAAACATACACAAAATTCAAAAATAGGACTAAGTATATACTATCCTCCGTTTTTTAATTGCAACATGTTGACTTTTTGCACTGTTCACATGATCTACTTTGACTACATTTTACACTATTATTTTATGAAAATTATTTTTTTAAAAAAAATATTTCTCAATTCATCTCATTTCAAATTTTCGAAATCTGATTTTTAATATTTTTTTATTAATAAAGATTAAGATATACTTACGGTCAAATGTGTGTGTTGGCAAATGTGCCAAAGTTGACTGTTGCAACTTAAAAAGAACGGAGGAAGTATGTTTTAATGTTTTATTCCCCAAATAGGAGTTATTTAGGGAGTGTTTGCAAAAAAAAAGTTTTTTCAGCTTTTGGCTTAAAAAACTGAAATGGATGTTTTTAAGTGACAACTTATGTTTAAATTAAGCACTTAAAAGCTAAAAGCTTGAAGCAAGTGGGTGAGTGTCTTAAACCCCTTTTCACTTTTTCTATTACACAAAAAATACTTATTTTACCAAACACTATCAACTCTTACTTTTTCAAAAACATTTTTTCTCAAACACTATTAACATTTACTATTAAGGGTTTTCTCCAAAATCACTTAAAAATTACACTTTTTAAAAGTAGAAGCAATTGCAAATTAAACACTCCCTTAATCTTACTAAAAGAATAAGTTGATTTAAACTTCCCAAAATAGGAGCCAATGAATACTATGTATGAACTTAATTCTTGTTTCGGTCATATTTATGGATTTTTTTTCATAATATAAAGATTGAGGTAGTATAGGTGATTTTTTCTTCTCACCTTGGCTTCAAAAGTTATCAAATTGCCCTTCCAAATGGAAAATTTAAGAGAAGGAGCTAAAGAAGGTTCGAGTAAGCACACCATTGACATCCATTGGTTCTTGCTAAGAGAATCTCCCACAAATACAACCTCTTCCCTCTCAGCTTTTCTAGCAGGGTAGTCGCATTAAACCTTTGACAATTTCACCACACAAATTATATTGAATGTCAAAAGTCCTACAAAACAAGAATGATGAAATGAAGAGAAAATGATGAGTTTGGCCTCTCAATTGTTGTTATGACCAGTATATTGAACCTCAGATTGACCATATTGGTCAAACCACAAGAACCGGGGGGTCTGGCGATTTGAAAGTAGGTACAAAGACGATTTTTAACCTGAAACATACTCAAATCAAAATGAGTCTTGTTTGATTCTTGAGTCTGTTATCAAATCGAATCATCTCGGGTTGACTACCTAAACTTATTAGGAGTATATTTTTAATTTTTTAAATGATCTTAATATTCATTTAGATAGTAAACAAAGAGACGAAACAATATTATATTTTATTTTTTTAAAATAAGGAAAATAAGTTCTATTGTTTTTTATGTAGATGACACACACATTCATGACATTGTATCAGAGATTATTTATTTTGACCTTGGCTTCTCAATTCTCATCCCGCCCTCTCTGAATTTAAATCTTGGCTCCCACAAACTAGTGTCATTAAGTAGTTCAAACTTTTAATTTGGACTTATATAATGGCCGTGTTTGACATTTAGCGGACATGAACTAGCGGATAGCGGTTTATGTCAAAAGGTTTTCAATAGCGGACTCAGTCAGCAGGTTTGACTAGCGAAACAACTATTTATTAAACAACATTTTCACTTATTCAAAACGCTAAAATAGGTCAAACCGTCAATTTTTTACCGAAACGCAATTTTCTAAACACCCCCAATATATATACCGGTGCCAATGAAGCCGCCAACAAGTAGTAATCTAGGGAGTAATTGTTATTTTAAAAAGAAAAGGGACCTTGGGAGATCACAATCTTTTGGTTTCCAAATCCAATGGTTATACAAAATGTCCTTCCTCCCAAACTTTTGACAAGCAAAATCATCCACTAGGAAAGTACACTCTTTTTCTCTATATAATGGATATGAAACATTGTCATAGATCCATTTGCCTGAGAAAAAATTGCATTTTGGGATTGATGAGACATTTCGTTTAGGTGGGTGCAATTTTTGTTCTATCAAAATTTCTTCAATATCTGAAGTCCTGTGATAAGAGACAAGCACACATGCTACAAGAAAGGCTCCAACGATACACTGAAGGTTGTGTCTGAGGATCGGCCAATATGTATGATGTCCACCTCTTTCATCCATGCTTCACATTTTTCTACTAGTTTTGATTTCCTTGAACATAAGAACACTTTGTCTCATTTCAATTAAATATAATATAAGAAAGTTTCACTAAACAATCATTACCAGTGATATTAGATCACAAACAATTCGTATTTTTAGGAAATTTATCAATAACATGTACATTGCTCATAAAGATAACTATAGTTTGTGAAATGATTGCCCATAAAGGACACCATAAAGGAAACTTATGCCTCTATATAAAAAACTATCTGAAAATTTGATTTGCAAATTCACCCATGTTGTATGCACAAAGTGAAATTCAATGTCATGAGACATTAATGTTTGTTTTGAAACTTTTTTTGTCTCTGACATATCATCGTACATGTAAATTTTGGATCAAATAGAGAAGGGTTAGATTTAGTTTCAGATTTGATGCCTTTAAGATTGCGAATGATGCAACACATTAGATAAAACCTGTGGTGACATTTTCATAAATGAGTGATCATTTTACCATCATGCAAAAGTGCAAAATTTGAATCTAAACTGCACTATAGCGCAATAAAAGTTTATTAAGTCTATCAATAATAATGTTTCGTGTGCACGGTTTTTGCACACACCATTTTATACGCTAGGTGAATTGTCTGTGCAGAGATAATTCGACCGGCGTGTAATATAGCATTTGAAAAAAACGTGTATAAACAACATTTTACGTATATCTATTAAGCAATGTTGATAATTAATCAAGTACCTGTTTGCCTGTTGATGTCACACTTGGAGGCCTGACTTGATCTTTTGGGGTTATGCATTACTCCGCTTGACGGTGCGGCAGAAGAGTAAATAGGGGCGACATGGATCGGATAACCCCTAAAAATCCATCCATTATATGCATCATAAACTAAATTAATAATCCTATCCTATGATATTGATCACGCAGAGCAAACTGTCTTTTTTGTTTGTTTTTGTTTTTCCCATTTTCGATCTTTGGATCAGATATTTGTTTCAAACTAAAATTGGCTAAAATAATGGATAAGTTCAAAGTCCAATCGTTAAGATAGCAAATATATATGACAAAGAGGATTTGTCGCCCTTAAAAAGTGATCTTGATGGGGGAAGAAATTTCCGGTCCAGATTGAAATAAATTATGAGTTGTATAATCATTCATGTGGGAATTTCTTCTTGAAGATTTAAAACCTACACATTTTAATTTCAAATTTGAAGTGTCCGAAAATTATAGTCCTCGAAGAAGAGATCCATTTAACAATTCAATCCCAATAACTTTGCATAAATTACTTTTTTTGGAGAACCAAGATGGGGAAAACTTTGACGGACAACATTTACAAAATTTAGCTTTTTTTACATGAACAAAATGTTGGAAAATGTGTTAAAAATTGTTGGAAAAATGTGTTGAAAATTTCATTAAATGGTCATTTTGGGGAAATGATTTGAGTGGGGCCCACTTCCGATTTGGGTCGGGTCAAAGTGGTTTCGGATTGCTCTTGTTAAGGGCTACAATTCGATATGTGGTACACTCAAAACGGATAACGGGTGAATGAGAAATTGATTCTCGAAGTTTACCCGTTAGAATGGAAAAACTGGGAAAAAGGATGAGTTTCTAGTGTGTTATTTCCCACACCGGAAAACCCAAGGGATTTGCAACCTTTTATAAAGGGACTCACCCCTTAAGGAGTTAAGATTTCTTAGGGTAAAGACTCTCTCCACGCGCGCAGGGGGGTGCAAATCAAATCCCGAAATCGGAGAAGAAAAACCGCGACTCGTGTGCGCGGGCGACCTGCGGACACGAATGCCGTCCAAAAATCTATTGTGTTCCGGACAGCAGGCTTCGACCAGAACACCATACGTGTTCTGGTGGCGTCGAACAGAACCCCTCCAAAGGGGTGTGTTCTGTTGGCTTCGGACAGAACCCCTCGAAAGGGTGTTCTGTTGGGGGTCTTCTGTCGCACATCTGAACCGTTATGAAAGTTAATGCCCAACGTTCTTATCTTTTAATGCTGCGTTAAATAGACAATTTATGGATAATTCAATGCCCAACGGACTGCTCATTGATGTCCAACGTTCAGGTCCATTAACACTACATTTAACACACAACGAATCATCCTATAAATAGCTAAAAAACTCCTGCAGCTACTCTGAAAATTCCTTCTGTGTTCATACTTGGTTCTCCTTCGCTGGAACTCTTGTTTGTGTGCTCAAACATTAGTTCGTAGTCATCGTATCCTGGGAAACGATTGTTGCAACGCTCCTAGCACCGTGGGAGGCAACAAATACGTTTTAAGGACATCGTGCGTAGCACGAGCTTTGACTAATTCTGCTTCATCTCCTTTTTTGTTTTTCTCTAGTCATTTTATTTAATTAATTTTCTTTATTTTCCGAAACACACCCAACAAAAATTGCATTAAATGGTCAATTTAGAGTAATATTTGAGTGGGGTCCACTTCTAATTTGGATCGAGTCAAAGTGGTTTCGGATTCTCGTTGTTAGAGCTATAATTCGATATGTGATGCACTCAAAATGGATAACGGGTAAATGCGAAATTGATTCTCGAAATTCAATTATTGAAATGAAAAGACTGAAAAAATGATGGGAAAACCCAAGGGATTTTCACCCTATTATAAATGAAACCCTCTTTATTGAAGAAGTTAAAATTCCTAAGGATGACAATGGGACCCGTGGGGGGAGTTGGGGCGGGTGGTGGGGTGGGGCGTTTATGCAAAAATTTTAGAAAGCCCGTGCTTGTTATTGAGCACTTAGAAGTTAGAACGGCTCATGCTAGTACGGCTCATGCTAGGAATTTAATTATTCCGTATTAGGATTAATATAAGTAATAGAGAAAATTGCCAATGGCTAAGACAAAAAAATAGGCTTTTCCCCAAAATATGACTCAATGTTTGGTTCTCTAAATATTACTTACTATTCCATTTTTACCCCTAATTGAATTAATTAACTAATTAACTCAATTAATTGCTCCCCTAGTTTTCTTGCATGACCAAGGCAGTCCGTCGGTGGTGGGGCAGTCCGGTGGTGGCGGAAGCGGCGGCGGCAGACATTAAATAGACAATAAATAGACAATAAGTAGACAATAAATAAACAACAGTGAGGGTATTTTGGTCCAATCACACATAAAAAGTCCTATTTAAGAATGTTTAAATTAATTGGTCCTATTTTGGGAAAAAAGTCATGTTTCGGTACTATTAAGGTAAATCTCCCTAAGTAATACTCGTACTATGTAACTAGTTCGTATAAAGTTAAAGTGCGTAAATGGTCCCTAAACTATCATCACCATATCGTTTTGGTCCTTCAACTAATAAATTTATCATTTTAATCCTTATTCTATTTGATGCATTTTAATCCAGTCCTTCTGTTTCATTTGGCCGTTTACATTAATTGTGGTCAAACATACAATATTTATAAATTGTTATAAGACTCATCCTTAACTAAATAATTCCCATTTGGCAAAAAAAAACTAGGGTCCATTACCTAAATAGGACTAAAAAGGGACAAAATTGAACAAATAAGATTACATTTTTTAAATTCCCATAATAGGAATATTTATGTGTGTTTGGACAAATATACCTTTGTAGCTTTTGAAATGTTTTAATTAATAATCAAATCATAAAAAATAATAAAAATTGTAAAAAATAAAACAAATCGTAAAAAATAATTAAAAATCAATAAAATATTTATAAAATAAAAAATTTATTTTTTTCAAAAGAAAAATTAAAAAATAAAAAATAAAAAAACGTTAAAAAAAACGCCGCCGCCTCTGCCACCCCAACCATAACTAGCTCCCATCACCGGAGAAATCCGCCAACATTTTTAGTAATGCCATAATGAAGTACTACCTCCGTCCCAAAAAGGTTTGCCAAATTGACTTTTCTTGGTCAATGATGACAAACTTTGAGCAATGATTTTAGTTATTATATTTGTATATAATTTATAAATTTTATACTCTTATGAAAATATTTTTGATGAGGAATATTTTGATATAATTTTCATAGTCTAAATAATTACGTATTAAAATATATCGTTGGTCAAAGTTGATTGTCATTGACCAAGAAAAGTCAATATGGCAAACATTTTCGGGACGGAGGGAGTAAGATTCAATGAAAATGTTGGCATAATGAAGAGTAATATTGCCATTTTCTAGACATTTTTCAGAAAAATGACATATTTTACAAAAGAGGATTTTTTTTTACAAATCAAAGGTGGTGGTGCTGGGATTATTATTATTTTTTGTTGTTGTTGTTGTTATTATTATTATTATTATTATTATTACGTATTATTACTAAATGGAGTATTCATAACAAAAAAATTAATGATAGATTATTAAAACATTTAATCATTAGAAGTTAGCATTTAACTAATAAACATTTTAATACATAAGGGGTAGTATTTAATCATATGCTTGAGTAATTTGTTGTTGAGTAATATTTAAAAATATGCTTGATTAAAGTTAATTTCATTAACAAGGGAAATATTTAGTTTTTTTTGTAGTTATTGTCCTAACTCCTAAATAGGACTAATGAGTCTTTTAAAAGCACATTTAGGACTATTACTTTTTAAATTTGCCAAATACCACTAAACATTGATTTTATACCATAAATACTCCTAAGGGAATAACTCATCGTGAAATATTTGAATTCATAATGAAATCATAAAAAATAAAAAAAACATAAAATCAATAAAATATTTATAAAATCAAAGTTTCCAAAAATATTGTTTTTTTGAAACTTCTTTAAAAAATAGTAGAAACCCATAAAAAGTAAAAAAAAATGGATACCTTTCCCACGGCCTCCCAGCACCACCGCCTTCGATCGGTGAAAATTCTACCGCTTTTGTAAAAAATGTCATTTTTCTGAAAAATGTCTAGAAAATGGCATTATTAATCTTCATTATGCCAACATTTTCATTGAATCTTACATCAATATGGCATTACTAAAAATGTTGGCGGATTTCTCCGGGGATGCATGAGAGCTAGTTATGGTGGGGGTGGCAGAGGCGGCGGTGTTTTTTATTTTTAATTTTTAATTTTGCTTTTGAAAAAAAATAAAATTTTTATTTTATAAATATTTCATTAATTTTTATTATTTTTTACAATTTTTATTATTTTTTACGGTTTTTATTATTTTTTATGATTTTATTATTAATTAAAACATTTCAAAACCTACAAGGGTATATTTGTCGAAACACACATAAATAGTCCTATTATGGGAATTTAAAAAATGTAATCCTATTTGTTCATTTTTGTCACTTTTTAGTCCTATTTAGCTAATTGACCCTAGTATTTTTTTGCCAAAGGGGAATTATTTAATTTAGGATGGGTCTTATAACAATTTATAAATAATGTATGTTTGACCACCGTTAATGTAAACAACCAAATGAAACGGAAGGACTGGATTAAAATGCATCAAATAGATTAAGGACTAAAATGATAAATTTATTAGTTGAAAGACCAAAACGATATGGTGATGATAGTTTAGAGACCATTTATGTAATTTACTCTTTAAAAAAACTAAAGTTAAAATACATTAGGGTTACTAGTTCGCATGCTATACGCCATTTGAAGGCTTCATCATGTGATGATAAATACTTCGTATTAATAAAGGATGGCAAAAATTAAAAGATATATAATAGGAATTTTATCAATTCAGGACTTAAAAAATAACAAGCTGGGACTTGAAAGATAAAATGTGTTGATTTAGCACCCAAATGATTGAAAATTGTCAATCTATGACCCTAAAATTCCATATGTTTTAATTTATTTAATATATTATTAATTCCATTTCTAATTTTTGATGAAATTTTCTTTAGAAAGGTTTATTATTAGTTTAACAAAACTAGAAAATATTTTAAATTTTTAAAATAAAAAAAAGTAAAATTCATGAAAAATGCGTCCTAGATTATAGTTTTCAATCATTCGGATCATATATTGATATATTTCGTCTTTTAGGTCCTGAATTGATAACTCATCTACGGAGTATATTTCAAGTCCTGCATTGATAAAATCTCTAGATAAAAACATTGTATATGAAACGGGGAGTATAGGATTACGAATTAATCAGACTAATAAGATTAATTTTTTAATTTCAGAAACAAAACACTGATAAATGATTTGTTTTATTTTCTATTTAGACAGATCTTGTCTAAGGATTTCGTGGCAAAATTTTAGAAGTCTATGGATTTTAGAAATCTAGATGTATTCAATTAGGACTTTTTAAAGTCCATAAAAGTGCGGGTGTATTCAATTAGGATTTCTAAAAGTCAATAAAAGTACGAGTGTATTCAAAATATTAACAAATCTTGTGGAATTACAAAATAATGGATTTTCATGGACTTTAGACCTAATCGTATATATAGTCCTTCTCATCGAATGTCTCGTGCTTTCCCAATAGATTTCACGCAGACTTTCTCCTTGGGTCTTCTCCTCTTGCTCGCCTCGCCAAGAACAACCGTCTCATCAAGAAGAAAAACTCCTGGTAAGTTACTCTTTTCTGAATTGCTTATCCATATTTGTTCGTTGTTATTTTTTGTACGGAGTAGAATTGCTTCTTCCACCATGTTTCAAACTTCTAGGCAAATCTGCAAATAGACTTGGTAGATATTATATTCTTTTTGCTTTAGAAATCAGAGTATAAAGAGGTTACGTATTTGTTAATGTTAGGCAATTTTATTCATCCAGTATTTGTTAAAGCATAACACTTTATCCAACTAATAAGTTTGTTTTCAATGAAGAGTAATTGGAGCTGCCTCTTCTTTACACAATAGCAGTCGTAGGTAGGAGTTTTTTTCTTTCGTTTTTGGTCAATTAGCTACAGAGCAGGTTTCTTCCTTTTCCTATGCAAGCAGCCGCAGCAGCAATTAAGAACCTGGGAGGGCTTTAAACTTCACTTTTCTTTCCCTTGCATCTAATCTAATTTAGATTTTGAGCAACTATTATAAGTTTACAGCATTAGTTAAGAGAAAGGAATGAAAACAACTGCTCCGGTCAATTGGGTTGCTGCTGCGGAAAATACCCACTGGTGCGGCTAATTGACATAGTGTTGCGGTTAGTTGAACTGTGATAGGAATGAATGGATTTCTCCATATCTTTATTGTTCGTTTGTTTTCAATGACAGTGAACTACTTGTATGTTTCTTGATGGGGAATAGCCCTGAACATGTTAATAATAACGCTTTGATGGACAATTCGACTATTCGAGTTCACAAATTTGCTGAACTTGGATGACAACCACAACACTCGGTTAGTACATCTTAGGGAATAAAAGTAAATAAAAATTTATAGAAATAGAATATTAGATTCTATTTCATAGTAATCTGCTCCCATCATTAACGTATCCTGTTTAAAACAAAAAGAAAAGTAAGAACTGTTGAGAAATTCAGTCCCAAATAGGATCTAATCTCACTAAACATGATAAAATTCATATAATCAAACAATAAGAAAACTAACCGGTTGAGGAGAAACCAAACGTTGATGGCGAAGATCATTAAGCCATGATGTCTTTGGATTCTCTAAGGATACAAACAGATTTCGATGGATTAAACGATCTTCCTTGGGTCTCCTAATATAGGTGTTCTTGAGACCTTTGGGGAAGAAACGTGTCCGGTCGTATTAGTCGTGAGAATGAACGAGCCTTATATCTTGTATCAAAGAGAAACCCCTTTGGTCCCTTATGTATTATTTAATTTTGAAACATACCCATCATATGTTAACTATACATAAATACAGGGACCAAATCTGTCATATGGCAAATTTAATTGTAAGACATAATTGTCCCCAATATATATTAAATTTTATAAATGGTCCAAGGGCACTTAAATGGAATATTTTCCAACATTCTCCCACTTGACCTTGAGATCATTTATACATAAGTAAGTGTTGGCCAAGAAAAAATCATCTTACCCTATAATAATGTCAAAGCAAATAAATACAGTCAAACGGGTCAATATAATCTGGGACCCTCATTAATCATATTTTGACACTTCTTAAAGAGTATAAGGATTAATATAAGCCAAATGACATTAAACTTAGGGTATTATGTTTGTCTATTAAATAACTTTGTGTGCACAATGAAGAATAGACAAAACATACTTAAGGAGGAATTCTAAATCAAGTACTTGAAATATTAAATAAGATAACTAATCAGACACTATGCTATTAATTCCTAAACAGGGTCTTTGATAAAGCCCATATTAGTGACATGTCTTTGAAAAATACTGGGCGGAAGTCCTTTGGTGAGAGGATCTGCTGGCATATCATTTGTGCTGATGTGTATGATACAATTTTCGTTTTCCTCCACGCTTTCTCGAACGAACAAATATTTTGTATCGAGGAACAATCCCGCTCCACTTGAACTGTTATTACTTAGGGTATTATGTTTGTCTATTAAATAACTTTGTGTGCACAATGAAGAATAGACAAAACATACTTAAGGAGGAATTCTAAATCAAGTACTTGAAATATTAAATAAGATAACTAATCAGACACTATGCTATTAATTCCTAAACAGGGTCTTTGATAAAGCCCATATTAGTGACATGTCTTTGAAAAATACTGGGCGGAAGTCCTTTGGTGAGAGGATCTGCTGGCATATCATTTGTGCTGATGTGTATGATACAGTTTTCGTTTTCCTCCACGCTTTCTCGAACGAACAAATATTTTGTATCGAGGAACAATCCCGCTCCACTTGAACTGTTATTGTTTGAGAAGCTCACGGCCGCGGAATTGTCACAATAAATCCTTAGTGGTCTTGAGACGAAATTCACTACTTTGAATCCTTTGATAAGATTCCTTAACAACATCCCATGACATGTTACGTTGTACACCGTAACATATTCGGCCATCATTGTTGAAGTAGTCGTAAGTCTTTGCTTGTGGCTTTTCCAAGATATTGGCCCACCTGACAGCAAGAAAATGTATCCCGAAGTAGACTTCCTATCGTCTTTGCACTTAGCAAAATCGGAATCGCAATATCCAACCACTTCTAAATTAATAGACCTCTGATATGTAAGTTTGTACTCCTTAGTCCCTTGAAGATACCGCAAAACTTTCTTAGCGGCTTTCCAATGATCTAATCCTGGGTTAGATTGATATCTTCCCAACATACCGGATACATATGCAATATCTGGACGAGTACAAACTTGAGCATACATCAGGCTTCCAACTACGGAAGCATAAGGAATGAGTTTCATTTGCTCTTTCTCAACCTCAGTTTTTGGGCACTGGAATTACCCAAAAACGTCTCCCTTAACTACTGGAGTAACTGATGTAGAGCATTGTTGCATGTTGAAACGTTCTAAACTGCGCTCAATGTATGCCTTTTGGGACAAGCCTAACGTCCCTTTGACTCTGTCTCAGTGAATTTCAATGCCTATAACATAAGAAGCTTCACCTAGATCTTTCATGTCAAAATGACCAAATAATAAGCGTTTTATTTCATGCAATAAATTCAAGTCACTACTTGCTAATAAGATGTCATCAACATATAACACAAACATGATGAATTTGCTCCCACTCATTTTGAGGTAAGTGCATTGATCTACTTTGTTTTTAATGAAGCCATTTGATTTCATGACTTCATCAAATTTAAGGTACCATTGTCGAGATGCTTGTTTGAGCCCATAAATATACTTCTTGAGTTTACACACTAGATGTTCTTGACCCTTAGAAACATAACCTTCTGGTTGTATCATATAAACATCTTCGTGTAAATCTCCATTTAAGAAGGCTGTTTTGACGTCCATTTGATGTAGCTCAAGATCAGAGTGAGCTACTAAAGCCATAACGACCCTTAGGGAGTCCTTTCGAGAGACGGGTGAAAAGGTCTCTAGATATATTTCGTCTTTTAGGTCCTGGATTGATAACTCATCTACGAAGTATATTTCAAATCCTGCATTGATAAAATCTCTAGATAAAAACATTGTATATGAAACGGGGAGTATAGGATTACGAATTAATCAGACTAATAAGATTAATTTTTTAATTTCAGAAACAAAACACTGATAAATGATTTATTTTATTTTTTATTTAGACAGATCTTGTCTAAGTTCATATTATTTGGAGTTGTAATATAAGATTGAAAAACTCATCTAAGTGGCGTAGTGCAAAGTGCAAACTGCAAACTAATGATGACGAGTATATTTTAACTTAACAAATATTAAGCCTAATACGGAGTATTTTCCTTGCGAGCCTTACTACGTGCTCAATAACGAGCACTCAACGTGCTTTATAAAATTTCTAGGCGTTTATGGGGATGGGGAATTATTTCGTCCCCGCTTAAATATGGGACGGGTGATGGGTTATGCACCCCCTGGCCCCCGCGGCGGCTGTAGGTACATTCCACTGCGGGAACCGGCTGCGGAAGCAACCGTTGTAGCCACGGACACAACTGGTGGTGGGTAAGACAACTCGGCCGCGAATCTGGACGGGTTAAGTGGTTGACGATAGTAAGAGGGCCAACTTGGTACCCCGCCGGACTAGCAGAGATGCTCTCTGTGCGTCCTCCGCCGGCGGAGCTGCGTTTCCGGTGATTGTGGTGCGACACTTGAGGAGGTGGGAGGGACGAAATGGGTTTGACGATGGAGTTGAAATTGGGGCAAGTCCCTCGCTCTCTTTTGGCACCCTAGAGCAGAGGAACCTTGTTAGAAAATAGAAGAGGTTGTTGGTTGTATGAGTAGAATAAGTGATTTTAGTGAGGTGTAATGTAGATGATGTGTTTTAGAGGAGAGCTCTTGTCTCTAGAAAAGTAGTATTGTATTGATGTTTCTTGGTTTTGCTTGGTATGCAAATGAGTACAATGAGTCCTATTTATAGGAGCTAGAGAATCATTCTAGATCCTTATTAAATGCTATGATTCTAGAGTATTCTACATCTATGTCTAATTACTCTAGATTTTACATAAGAATTCTCTAGTAGAGAATTTTCTAGAATACTTTCTAGCTTTAACTGTCTAGATCATCTCTAGCCTTTTCTACATAGAATATTCTAGATAAATGCATCACTATTTAATACTCCTCCTTGATGCATTTGTCGGTGACTCCAAGCATTCTTCGCAGAAACTGGAATCTGTCTCTTGGCAGGGCCTTCGTGAAAATATTTGCCAATTGTTCTTCTGTTGGGCAGTACTTCATCTCAATATGCCCCTTTGCTTGGACATCTCTCAAGAAGTGATACTTGATATCGATGTGCTTAGTACGATTGTGCTGAATTGGATTTTTAGCCATCACAATAGCTGACTTGTTGTCGCAAAATATTTGAGTCGCAGAACTTTGCAATTCTCCCATGTCTTCTAATATTCTTTTTAGCCATATAGCTTGGCACACTGCTCCGGCTGCTGCAACATACTCGGCTTCGGCTGAAGATAGTGCAACATAATCTTGCTTCTTTGATCCCCATGAGAAAATTCCCGAACCCATCTTAAATGCGTAACCGGAGGTGCTTTTCATGTCATCTTGAGATCCAGCCCAATCACTGTCGCTATATCCAGTTAGTCGTGAGTCAGGAGTTGTTTTATACCAAATACCATAATTGATGGTTCCTTGTAGATACCTAAGGAGTCTCTTTGCCGCTCCATAATGAGTCTCAGTTGGACTTTCCATGAACCTCGAGAGCAAACTTGTAGCATACATGATGTCCGGCCTCGTAGCCGTTAAGTAGAGTAGACTCCCAATCAAACTTCGATAATTGGTTGCGTCCGTCTGCTTTGACCCATCTTCTTTCTTCAATTTTTCATTAGGAACCAGTGGAGTAACGACGGCTTTGCAGTCTTGCATTTTAAACTTCTTTAGCATGTCCTTTGATGGAGTAATGAGACTAGGCCCAGAGCCTAATCAGCCCAAGCCCCGAATTTGGACCAGTGGATCCAAGTCCACAACCTGGCGCCTGCCTGCCTGCCCAGCGGGGAGCCCACCAGTCCGGCCGACCTCCCAACCCGAAAGAGTAACGGTGAAGCAATTAATGCACTGTTAATTATGTATTAATTCTGTATTAATGTTGTAATTAATTAGTCATTATTATCGGTAGCAGTTACGATTTGTATACGCCTATAAAAGGCGGGCTGTAATTCAGATTAGGGAAAACGAATTCTATATGCTATTTCTGGCTAACTTTCCATATTCGTACTTTCCTAATTCTTGCTTGAGTGTCGTACGTAGCTTTCCTAAAAGCCTACGAGCGTCCTATTTTGGACCAACATTGGTGCTTTCATTGAGAGCTGTTATTGTCTCTCAGATCAGTTTAGTAGGAATCACAAAGAATGCAAGAAAGATTGTTCTCGAAATCTCAAAAAAGATGAACAAAACATAAGAATCTGGAATTTCAATTGAACGAAAGTTGTGCTCACCATCCAGGATGACAATGCACCGAATGCTGCACCTGATTTCGCCACTAACACTGGAGAGTCATTGTTGAGATCACGCCAGCACTGCTCTGGATCCCTGGTCCAATTCCCATTCTCCTAGCGCCTAACAAAGCTTTCAGTCCAAAAAAAAATAGCACATCTGAAGGTGATGTCGTAGAGGTCAACCAATCTAATGCTCTTGTCTCAAAAATTTTGAGCGAACTCGACCACAAGATAAGTGCTAAAAATCTCTCCTACGGTTATTTAGCAAAAAGATTTTAAAAAAAATCATAGATTGAAACATTTGAAAAGATATTTTAAGTGATATGATTGTGTTTACTCTTATTAAGTGTGTGTAATTTTAACATTGAATAACGGGCTAATGAAATCTTTTCACTCGAGTACGCTGGACGAGCACACACACTCGTACACTGGCCGATCACACACACTCGCGCCACCGGGTCACGTCATACGGGTGTGACGATTAATAAGCTCCAATATAAATGTTAATACCGCACACTCTTGACTTCATACGAGTTCTCGTGTGCTCTTACCCCTTCATAGTGCATCACACTCCGACCTCGTGGGATGAGTCACCCGTTCAAAAGTTTTTACTTGCGGGTTCGAACTACTAACCTCGGGCGGCGAGTTAAACTCTTGTTAGGGGCCTAGAGCCACGCTCTTCCGAGCAATTTTGTCACTTAATTGACATTCACATTTCTCGAAAAGTTTGATATACTTTAGTTCTTTGGGGTTAGATTATCCATTCGAGTGAGGAGTCCGACTCACTTACTCGCGGATTCAATCTTTCTTTCGGAGACTAGGTTGAGGCCTAACTTGGGAACTTGATGTCACTCTTTTTCAAGTAGTGAGTCCGACTCACTTACACACTGAGCCGTGGTTCCACACTAGGCCAGATGCCCTATTCTACACTAGTTTCTTTTATGTGTAGGTACAACTAAATGAAGTGGGGGACTGAGGGTCTTGCCATCTTCAAGGAAGCAAATGACGAACCTGACGAGTCTGTGCCCGATGAGAAGAACAGTTCTAGCCATCCTATTCGCAGATGGCGACCACTGCAATAAAGGCTGAGGATCTCACCTCTTGCTTCATCTTGGGGGCGTCAGATGTACTCTTTTTCCCTTCATTAGGATTTTTTCCCATTGGGTTTTTTCCCAATGAAGGTTTTTAATGAGGCATCTCCCCAACATGGACAAGGGCGGAGATCTTCTAGTCTCAGAGAAGAGCAACTGACTTGGACTACTCCCTCTTAGCTGAGTCTACTACTCGACTAAGGGAGTGGGGGACTCATGATGGAGTAATGAGACTAGGGCCAGAGCCTAATCAGCTCAAGCCCCGAATTTGGACCTATGGATCCAAGTCCACAACCTGGCGCCTGCCTGCCTGCCCAGCGGGGAGCCCACCAGTCCGGCCGACCTCCCAACCCGAAAGAGTAACGGTGAAGCAATTAATGCACTGTTAATTATGTATTAATTCTGTATTAATGTTGTAATTGATTAGTCATTATTATCGGTAGCAGTTACGATTTGTATACGCCTATAAAAGGCGGGCTGTAATTCAGATTAGGGAAAACGAATTCTATATGCTATTTCTGGCTAACTTTCCATATTCGTACTTTCCTAATTCTTGCTTGAGTGTCGTACGTAGCTTTCCTAAAAGCCTACGAGCGTCCTATTTTGGACCAACATCCTTAATATATTTTTCTTGAGATAAGAATATGCCTTCTTCTTCTTGACTTATCTCCATGCCAAGGAAGTAGTGCATTAATCCCAAGTCACTCATCTCAAAAGTGTTCATCATATCTCTCTTAAATTCTTCAATTAATTTGGAATTATTTCCCGTGACAATTAAGTCATCAACATATAGAGAGACGATGAGAATGTCAGATTTACCTTGGGATTTGATGTATAGTGTAGCCTCGTTCTTACTCCTCCTGAACCCTTGACGGGTGAATTATCCATCAATCTTGCTATACCACGCTCGTGGAGCTTGTTTGAGCCCGTAAAGCGCTTTCTTTAGACAAAGAACTTTTCCTTCTTCTTTGATGAATCCTTCTGGTTGTTCCACATACACTTCTTCTCGTAGCTCTCCATTTAGAAAGGCTGACTTGACATCTAGCTGATAAATTTTCCATTTCTTCTGAGCTGCAAGAGCTATGAGTGTTCTTATTGTGTCCATCCGGGCAACTGGTGCAAACGTCTCTGTGTAGTCAACTCCCGGTATTTGAGCATACCCCTTTGCAACCAGCCTTGCCTTATGCTTCTGAATTGAGCCATCGGGGTTCAGTTTTGTTTTATACACCCATTTGACTCCAATAACCTCCTTGTTATGTGGAAAATCTACCATTTCCCAAGTATCATTCTTTTCTATCATTTTGATCTCCTCCTCCATTGCTTTAATCCAAACTTTTTCTTTGAAGGCTTCGGTGTAGCTATATGCCTCCAAGGAGCAAAAGTTGCATGTTTCATAGATGTTAGTAGACTCATATAGGTCTGCTAGAGTTCTTACCCGAAGAGGTGGGGACTCTGGCGAGGAGTCGTGATTTATTGATGTATTAGCTTCAAAAGAGGATCTTGGAGTAGACGTGGGGCTTTGTTGATCGAGATTTTCCTCTTATGGTATTTCCTCTAGTTGGACAGTAGTTGTCTTTCTTTCAACTTTTTCTGTCTCCCAATTCCAAGAGGCTTGCTCGTCAAACTCCACATCTCGACTTGTCACCAACATCTTTTTCTCGAGATTG